TTATTCAGCTTGCACACTTTAATCCTCCTGAATTTTCGTATTTCTGCACGAAACCTTGCAAAATAGCCAATTTACACATTAACCCTAATATTCTATAATTTAATTGTTTACCCTAATTTAATCACACAATTAACTCTAAAACCTAATATAGGTTAACCACAAACCATTCCCGAAGTGACAAATTTAGGAGTTTTCAACTCCCTCAATTCAGAGCAACGCGAAGGTTACAAGAGTTTACTTCTCCAAACTCGATCGATGCAAACAAAAAAAATGACCTTTGGGGCGAATGGAGTTTTAAACTCCCTCTTATCTCTATTGGTTTTGTTGAAATACAAATGGTAGTAAAGCACATTGGAATTTTTTTTAACTCCTATAAGACATTCTAGATCACATGAACATAGAGTTTTTAGCTCCTATGTGTTCACGCGTCAAGAAATAGAGTCTTCGACTCCATGGAATCGCAATGATTCCCAATTTAATGTCCATCTTTAAAAAAATTTTGTGCTTTTCATGAATAATTCAAGAATTTTCCAACTCCTAAATTAGTAATTTAAGGAGTTTTTAACTCCTAAAGCTCGTCATTGCATAAAATCGATAAATGTCTATGTTTCTTTGTGGCAATGACAGAGCCTTGGGCTCTTCTTTAACAAACAAAATTTCATGGAGTTTTTCTACTGGTTGTGCACAGCGGATAATTAACACTAATAACATAAGTTGGGAGATAGGAATTTATGATATAAAAACAATGAAAATATTACACAAATATATAACGTGGTTCGATACAACATACCTACCTTGGTACACTGTACCTATATTCATGGATCAAAAATCTATATCGATGTATTATTCACTAAAAAATGGTCATTTAGTAACTGATTACATAATAAACCTATCTATGGTTTATTAAGACTCTCAATGCGTTTCCTATTCCATTCAAGATTTTCACATTGATTACCAAACAAACTCTCATTCATAACAATTAAAGAGTTTTGATCAAATTCCAACAACCTCCCTTGAACCAAATTCTTCAACTTTGGTCATGCCCCGAGATCGGGCTTAGCACCCTTAATTCTGATCCACAAATCTTTTCAAACACCACATGCAAACTTACTCTTCTGAGTCGCCATAACCCTCTTCGTATTGACTACATCGTCTATGTGCCTTTACTCACATCTTATTTGCCCTTGGGAGATCTCAATTGTCAATGCTTCACTATTCATCAAGGTAAAGCCTAGTGACTCATAAACCACGAGACACCACAACATAACTATTGGGTTTATGTTAGTCTAATAGTTTTCAAACCATTAGAATATTGTGACTTCAACTCTAAGAGCCCAACATCTTGAAGAAACATCTTCAACATAGCACGTGTGGTGATTCTTGAAATCCAAATAATCTGAAAGCAACTTAGTCTCCCGTTTAGTTTCATAACAAATTTAAATTTTTCTTTGTGAATCTAAACACTATAAAAAAAAAAAAACCCAAGATGACGTCATTAATATATATAAGACAAAATCAATCTTCACACCACGTCATACACACACGGCAAGGGAGTCTTCTTCAACATGAACATCAACTTGATCATTGAATTTAGCTCTGATTGTTCTACTAGAATTTTTAATGTAGTTCTGATTATTCTACCAGAATCATCAATCTAACTCTGATGCCACTTATTGGTTTTGCACAGAGGATAATTAACACTAATAGCATAAGTTGGATGATAGGAATTTAAGATAATAAAAATAATAAAAACATTACACAAATATATAATGTGGTTCAATATAGCATACTCACATTAGTACACCATACCTACATCCATGAACCAAAAATTTACATCGGTGTATTAGTAATTGAAAAATTAGTCATCTAATAATTAATTACATAATACTCAACTCTATTTATAGGAATAAAATATTATAACTCAATTTATAGGAATAAAATATTCTAACCCAATACAATTTAAATACTACTAAATCTTTATATTTCGTATCAGATCATTAATATATCTATCAATGGTTCATTAGGACTCTTTCAATACGTTTCCTATTTCATTCAGGATTCTCATATTGATTAGCAAACAAACTCTCCTTCATGATAATTAAAGAGTTTTGGTAAAATTCCAACATTTTCGGCTCTTAATCTTAATAGGTGACGCCCAAAACTAGCCCAGGCCTAGCCAATAACAAAAAAAAAAAAAAAGACTTAGGCTTTTTAACTATGGCATTTGCAAATTATTCATGGACAAGAGTTTTAAACTCCTAAGAATGGACGTAAGAGTCTTTGGCTCTTTATGCATTTTACCTTCGAGATTATAAAATGGAAGCTATACTTGAATTCAAGAGCCTCTGTTTCTTCAAGAACCCTATTTAAGTAATAGAATCAGTAAGTTTCCTACAAGAATTCCAATCACCAATGGCAACTTAGTTCCGAGTTTCTGAATCCCGGTCAAATTTATACTCACTACAAGATAGCCAAGCATCAAACTAAGTAAAATTCCCTGGAGCATTTTGACTCCTCTTTTCAAAGTCTACCAGCATAGACACACATCTGCAACCACAAAAATAAAAAAAGAAAAAGAAAAAGAAAAGAGGTTGCACTTGATGCCCGAAGTCTAACCATTGTAGCAGACTAGTCACGGCAAGACTTTGACATTTCCGAAGCTTATCTACTGGTTCAATAAAAAATTTAGAGTCTTTGACTGTAATGGAGTTTCAAACTCCCTCTAATCTCCATTTGGTTTGTTGCAAACCACCTCTATCGGTCAACTAAGGTCCGGCAAAAAAAAAAGTCGAACACAACATGTCTCAATTCTTTAGTTCTAAAGGAGTTACTGATTTCTTCAAAATGCCCCGAGAGCACAAAAAAAGGAGTTCTCGACTCTTTTCGACAAAAGTTAAAATAATTTAATTATTAAAATCCTTCACCATTTTTGGAGTTTCTAACTCCTACAAATTAAGTGGTTTATAACTAAGTGTTGGCTAATACATGAGGGTTCATTTGTATCACCCTACACATTTCATATCACAACCCTTATGTTGGAAATAAATCTAAATAGGAGAGTACCCTATCTCTTGTAGAGTAAGCCTGCTTAGCAGAAGTCCCAAGAACCTCAAATCAAGCCTTCCAACTTTTAGTCTTAAATTCTCGTCTTTGAGATTTTGGAGAAAAACGTGATCTTTGGTATGGTTGCACAACTCTCGTTGCGTAGAATAACTTTAACTTTTGGTTCGAAGTGATTCAACAGTTGGATCTTCATAGATCAGAGAAGAAAGGTGGAACAAGTTTTGGAGAATCTCCACTCTCTCTCTCTCTCTCTCTCAAATGACAAGCCAAAGAATGAGAGAAAATCTGATTTTTTTTTCACCCTTAAATACTCCTTAAATGGTTGATTCATAAAACGCCACATGTCTCACTTTAATTGATTCAATTGTATCCCGAATCAATTAAATCTCACCCCGTGTTAAGTTTATAATATTTTTATTGAACTAATTTTAAATTATTTCTCAAGTTCAGTAAGTAAAATCTAACGCGTTTATTTTAATTACACGCCACCCGATCACATCATAAAACTCGAAAATTTTGACTATTTTGAAATTTAACAAAAATTTACTGGATAGCTAGATTTCGTAATACGAATCTAACGGTGAAGTCCGTTTTGTAATACGAACGGCTATTACCATTTTATCTTTTTTAATTAAATTTTAATTTTTTTGGGTTTTACACAATCACATTGTAAAGCCAAGCCTGGTCCAGCAAGACTTCTCCCATAAAAAGGGAGTAAATGCTAGTTGTTGATTTAAATTGGGCCTTGGATGGAAAGCCTTTACTGGGTGAGTACAGTCAAGGAAGTGGGCCTTTTATAAAAAGAAAATGGGCTATGCAAGCTAAATTTTGAGTTTTGAATTAATTAATGTTTTTGGATTTATAATTCACGAATTCAAAATTTGAGTTCGCAAATTTTACTGAGTGCGAGCACGAATTTCTCTTGAATTGTGCTCTCAACTCACGAATTACCGTTCTGAGCACTAGAGCGTTGCTTGTGATGCACGATGTGACTCAGGTCTCAACCTTTGCCCCCACCCTGAGGCACCAACTAGCCTCAAAAATATTTAAAAAATTTTTAAACTCGGGTTATTCTCAAAAAAACTTTCAAATCTGAAACTGTGATAGGAATAAGGTATTGACTAGCTACTTTAACAATAATTGTGAGACTACAGATTAATTTCATAAGATTACAACAAAATGAGATTACTCTAAATCGATACTAAGATTTTATGATTTATCATGATTTTTTCTTTTTGGTCAACTCGACTTCCATCGAGTTATAACTTGACCCAAATAAGTGATAACTAATCCCTGTTTACTTACAATATCAAGTATAGTGCTTCCACCGATACTTTAGTCCTACTCCGTAAATTGGTTCAATTGCTAATCGTCTAAACGATGAAAGGCACTAACAACTCGATGCACCGAAGAAAAGTAAGCAAACGCAGAGTTAGCTGCATCAATAATTTTTCTGGGCACAAGCCATACATTTAGTGATGTATTGCAGAAGCCATACTCATTCCAAACAATCATGGACGTAATTCGTATGCATTTAAAGACAGATGGGGCAGAGGTCAATTGGCTACTTCATCACATAGCCAAACTGGATATGAAAATGCAGAAAACATTCTGAATCACGCTAGCGATCCTCAACTACTATCAACTGCAAGATCAAATTATTACATGCTATGAAGAGAGCGAGTGCAAAATTTGTACAAGACCAACAATCAAGTTTGTGTAGAAAAACACCGAACTCTAATTTCCCTTGTATTCAACATGTACAAACCAACAGATTCAAAACAACATATGGAGCTTCTAACCTGCCCTCGCATACCTTGGCAGAGGTTCAACAAGAACCCAACTCAATATTCCACCTTTCCAGTATATTGATCAAGTACCTAGTGTCAGGATTCCCACGAAGCATATTTTCTAATCCCATCTTCGGTGTAAATAATTCAGACAACAGTAAAGGCTGACTGTATTGTAGAGGAAACTCGAGATGCTAGTGTTTGGGTGGCAAATGCTTGAAGCTGCTTCTTAGCATCTGAAAAGAAAACCAAACGTTTTGATTCAGAGCTGTGATCCAAAATTGGGGGGAAAAACAGATGGTTTCGGATATGTATGCATAATTATAAATAGTTTATAGTGTTCGCATATGTGTGCATACTTATAAATAGTTTATAACATGGATATATAAAACAATGTATGATGAGAGTGGGCAGTAGGAGAAGATCTATAAAATGTAGAAGAATGTTTCAAGCTGCAACAGCAACAAAATAATGATAAAATTACTAAAACACAACCTGTCCCACAGCCATGCAATGCACGAGATATAGCGATGCAGAAGATATATAAATCTGTCATCTCCTACAATTTGATTCCTCCTTTTTCTCACTCTTTCATCCCACCATTTGGGAAGTTACGAAGTTTTAGGCTGATAAAAGCTGAGTTTTCCAAAAAAAATTAAAAAAAATGGTAGTTAGTTAGTGGGGAAATGGATGTGCAATTATAAAGGTCACATAGTAGAATGTGACTGGGGAAAACATTTCATTTATATTCAACATCCTAGGAAATTAGAAAATATTTTTTAACCTTTTAACCACACTACATCTCTTATTTACATTTAACCTTTTAACCAAAATAGTCATTTTAACCGCAATATAATTTTAACCATATCTACCATTTAATAACAGTAAATCTGTTAACTAACCATTTATGCAGTAAATGTTTTAAGTACTCAGCTTACATTTTAACCACAGTAAAAAACGCGTGCTTTGCACTTCGATGACTAACGTCACATTATGATTGGAGGAATAATGAAGGGAAGACAAAGGGTGAGCAAAGTTTAGAAAGGAAACATGTTATTACCTTCACTATCAAATGTAAACATAGTTGCTTAAGTGTGTTTCAATAGCAATTCAAACTGAATGTACCCTTACGTAAAATTACTTTCAAGATTTAGTAAGGCAAACTTGTTTGAATACTTAAACCAACATTAATTTCAGGAATATTTTTGTCAATTGCCTCGATTTATAGGATTTTGTACACTATCACAGGGCATAGAAAACACAAAAAGTGACTTACACTTCTATTGGATACTTAGAAGGGCCTAAAAAACTGCTTCCAAACCAAGTGAAATTGACATTTCTCAAAGGTAATGGTTACATGAATGAGGAAAACCACAACAGTACCTCAAGCCACAGGGAGTAGTCCTAGCTACGGTAGGCTCAAATGTGTCACTTCTACATCTGATCATTAAGCTAGGAAACAAGGGTAATTATATATCGGTAATGCATTATCTGTGAAACATTTCTATTCTATATCTTTCTCTATTGTGAGTATAGATTGTGGGTATCACTAATCATATAAGCATTTTCTCTAACAATAATGTTGAAAGTGTCATTCTTTATACTATTTTAAATGTTAAATTGAATAAGAGCTTGATGCTAGTTACAACGTTTATCTGAAGAAAAGCAAAATGAAATAATTTAAACATGGCACTGTATAGTTGCCATCAAAATTTGACCTTCAAATTAGTATTTCCCAGGACATACCATATTTGCTTTGATTTGAAGTTCCGAACTGTTTGATCTTTCGAAAAATGAGGTTGGCTTCTCAAGCAAACAAAGTAAAGGGGGAAGGGGGAATATGAGGCTAGTTCTTAAGCATAAAAGCAAATCTCCTTATTATTTTTCAAAATACCCATATTAGATCCCCAAGGAAAGTGTTGTTACTCAGCAATTTGACTTGTGAATGAATACTACTTTCTTAATGTATTCTACCGATCATACGAGTATAACAGTGCAATTCCAAATTCAACATTTGCAACTAACTCTTTATTCAAGTAGTTTTGTTTCTTGTATAAATTTCTTATCAATAACCATTCTGCAACCAAAGTAAGTGTATGATGACTACGATGAATGAGTAAAATTTTCAACATTGAATAGCGCCATAGTCTTGACAAAGTTGCCAGAACAACTGGACAACATATGCTATACAAACTGACAAACAAGTAATATTGCAAATTTGCAACTAGGCAATCTACTAAATGGCAAGTACTCAACTACCACGGATGTCGTGACCAAAAAAAAAAAAAA